CTTTATGCTTTATGCTTATTGCTCCAGGTAATAAGATCATCATAGATTGTAATATGTGCATGTGTAGAAGCTCGTCAACCCATGCCTCGGTATCATCCATCTCGTGTATCACGCCATCCTGTCACCATGTAGAGAATGGTATCTAGTACCAGCAATAGAAGCAAAGACTAAGAAGCGGAAGAGAAGACGACAAATAAGGTAAAAAGGAGAACAATCTTGGGAGAAGAAAATCTGAAGAAAGGAAGAACGAAGCATCAAACTCGAATGCAATGTCATGGTTCATTCGCGGCTCCTTTCTGCGTGATCAGGAGTTGCGCTCGGCAAGAGAAAACAACGGCGTCTGTGAGCAAGACCAAGAACAGAAAAAGAAACGAAGATAGGATATTATTTATACAGGGCGGAAGGGCAAGTTCAGTAAGAATTAATAATACATACCATGGGCTGCGCTTGCTCTGAAATATGCCTCAGGCAGCAAAGCGACGGGATCGGTGAGTGATTAAGCAGGCAGCCACACGAGAAACTCTTCGGGTATGAAATGGAGAGAAAATGATATATAGCAAGTGGATATCGAAACACGGGGCTCTGAAACGCGAGAATGGAAGGTCGACAACATTGTATCCGTGTGTTCGGAAAGTAATTTGGGTGCAATGAATCAGCAAACGCCACTCTTGGTTGCAGGGTGACTGATAACAGTCTCCTCTATATGCACGGAGGGTTGGGGTTCTTCATCAACATGGGCGATCTGGGCGATGTCCGATGGCCCGTCAATTTGTTCATGTGTATCATGGAATAGTTTTTCATGGTCTTCGGTATCCGTGCCATCATCAGGCACCGTGACAGTCACTGGAACCGCGACGTCTGCGGGAGCAGACACGAAAGGGTCCTCGTTAAGGGAGGTCTTGTCCTGCAATTCGTTATCAAGCTCGTCGATATTTCGAATTTGCAGACTTGCGTGATCAACCTCGGGCGTGAGGTCTGGTAGGCTTTCTTCCGGGCCATCGACAATCGTCTCCAGAGGATTTTCTGCTGCACTCGAGAAACTCTCGTGATGTGCGTGGTGTCGGTGTGACTGGTTGAATAATGGAATGATGCCGCCACCAATTCGGGACCAAAACATTCTTTCCCTCAATCTGATAGTTTCATCCCAGGCTTCCTTCTCCTCTTCGGCATCCCCAATCCGAACATGCCCATCGAGAATCAAGCGAAGATACCCTGTAAACTCGCAGCATGATCGCACCTTCTCCAAGCAAAGCACACATAGCGGGTAGCGCTGGGCGGTCTCGTTATCGGAAGTGCGGAAACGATGAGTCCTCTCGTTGACGGAGCCGGTCCGGCGTTCGCCACAGAGTGAACATGGGAACTCGTACCGCTTAGCCGATGAAGGCATAGGCTCAACCAACAGACTACCCTCACAAATTCCACCCAATACAGACCGCCGAGTCAGCCAAGAGATCCCGGGGGCGGCATCCAGTCGCAGTGTTGGCTCAATATCTTCTACAACCACCCGCTTGTAAAAACGAGTTTCCTTCAGTGGGATGTGGGAAGTGACCGGTTGAGGAGACGACACGCTTCCGCTGGGAGAATGGGTATTGGATTTCGCAGGCGACGAGGACGCAGAGCCGAAGCCGCCAGTGCTTAGACTAGCTAGGCTCATGACATTCAAACCGGCGTAAGACCCACTGGTGGCACGACTCGGCGGCTTTGACAGTCTCGATGTGGTGAACAGTTCTCGGAAGTCCTCGTACGCTTGTATATCGGTGCGACAAACAGCCTTGATTAGGTGTGGGAAACTGGTCGAAGGGGCCGGTGTGATATCTTCCGTTCCGATGACATCCTCGAGGGCATCCGAACTCTCCATGTTCTTTCTGATGGATGGAGGCCGCATGGGTGCAGCTGGAGAGGAGGGCGCAGTTGAGATGATGGTCCGAGCATCAGCATCGTCCTTGGTGACGTTCATTCCTTGCAAAACAGATTTCAATTCGGCAAGTTGCTCCTGATGCGATGCGAGAAGTGCTTCGGTATCTTTGACCTGAGCGCGTAATTGCTCGTTCTTCTTTTCTACCGCTTCACGCTCAAGTTTAGCGGCTGCGACCATCTATATTTCGACAAACATGTCAGCACATGAGCTGGGACAACAGCATAGATTACTGAGATCTAACCTTGTTGGCCTCCTCAAACAGAGCAGCAGTCAAAGTCTCTAGTTCTTGTTCAATGCCCTTCTTCTCCTTCTCTGCAAGCGCGCGCTGGGCCTTCTCTTCAGCCAACGCGGCCTGTAGGCGCAACATTTCGTAATCGACATCGGCCTTCTTGATTAGTACTTCCTGTTCAACGTCGCGCCGGTATTTTTCGTTCTCCGACTCGAGAGAGCGGATCTTTTTCTGGGCTTGCTCAAGTTCCTGGCGGGTGGCAACTAAGCTGTCATCTAACGTGGTTTGGTTGTTGATCGCCTGAACAAGCTTAACACTCAGAGCTGCGACTTCATTGCTGAGATCGGGGTGGTGCGACTGGGTGGTGGATGCGGTTTCCGAGCTTTCCGCGCTGCTCGCGAGTCTCGGATCCTTAAGGGTATTGAAGTTGCTGTCTGGAAAATTTCCCACACTGGATGATCGGACTCCGGGAGTGGGTTTCTCGGTGACAATTTCCGATAAATCATTTGTAGAGCGCGCTTTCGTAATGGTTCTGTCGGGTGACAGAGATCTATTCTCGGAGGAGAGGGATCGTCTGTGGCTGGTAGGCCGCGGAAGCATGTTGGAGGGTGAGAGGAAATTATGACGGGAATAGTAAGTGTGAAAGGCGATGAAACTGTCTCCGACAGTTAGTGATGTCGTATGAGAATTTAGTAAGAGAATGAACAGGTTAAGAAGACATACTCGGCCATGGTGATAAGCGAAGCTGCGGGTCGGGCTGTTGAAGATAGATGGGGTATTACAATGATAGCGAGGCGGGTTTCACAACCACGTATATAGCAGGTCCGGGACTTCCCATCTGCAACCCCTCACAGACTCAAGAGAGCGTAATCAAGATCTATGCATGGGACAAGTGAAGTAGGGGGTGGTAGTGGTAGGTGCAAGAGTAATGCAACGTCTCCGCCAGCGCGCAGCGTGGAGAGAAATCAGCGAGTCGAGCCACGACGCATTGAGACCGACTAGGAAGGAACGGGAATTGAACGACGCAACAAGAATCGCTTAATGGAAGAAAAGACAGTGAGGGAGTGTACGAAGGAAGAACAAGTGAAGGAGAGTGAGTAGAAGCGAATTGAGGGAGAGGTGGAGGAGGAGGAGGAGGAGGAGGAGGAGGAGAAGAGGGGGAGGTAGGGTAGGTAGGATAGAGCCGGAGCAGATGACGATAGAGGCGGATCGGGGAATCAGGGCGTGATCAAAAGGAAGGGTGTGGATATTAGAGTCGCGGATACTACCCCTCTTTTTCTCCAGGTGGGCGTTGATATTGTTGGTTCGAATTGAGAGGGAAAGAAGAGGGGAAAACGAAGAAGTGAAAGAGGCGTAAGAAGGCGAGGTATGAATTAAAATTTCATATGATTAAGGATTAGGTTAGTGGGCAAAGGTGATTTTGAGAACTTTGAATAGGTAAGGTTGTAGTAAGTTAGTAGGTAATGAGTACAAAGTACGGAGTACGGAGAGTACGGGATAGACAAGACACTGACAGACAGACGGATGGGCACCAGCCTGGAGCAGAAGCACAGCCTCGGCGGCGCCTGAAGCAACTTGGAAGCCAGAGTAATCGCAGTAATTACGGTATATTACCGGTATCGCCGCCCGCGGTCAGGCGGCCACTCGAAGGACGGTTAAGGATTTTTTGCAGCACTAGCTCCGGTGGCGAGTGTCGTATTATCTTACTCAGTACGCTAATTACGGAGAATACGCGGAGATACCTTCCACCCACCCAATCACACCCTCAGGCGCTTAAACTTCAGTTGTCGCGTCAGGCCGATATCTTTGCCCGTCATCTGTGAGTGAAGCTTAGCGAAGGCAGCGACCAGATGGGAAGGTCATTCTAGCTCCGAGTCGATCTGTCCCCCAAGGAGAAACCATCACATCTCCATCACACACCCCCGAAAAAGAAAGGAAAAAAGAAAGAAAAAAAAAAAAAAAGAGACCCCCTGCAATGGCTGGAGACGGATCTGCCGATAGCAGTACTCCGTACTGTACTCCCCCGTACCGATCTTCGTCTCCTTCACTGCATTCCGATTTATAAATAACTCGAAGCCACGTTCCCATGCCGGCTTCTTCGGTTTCCGCTCCGAGAGTGGTGTGTGTGGTGATCTTGATACAGGCCAGCGTCTCGCAAAGGGATACCGGAGTGAGTGGCTGGACCAGGAGGGGGGGGGGCTTATTCACTTGCCTTTTCTTCCCCTTCCACCCCCTCTCGCCCTAGATACTACTCATCTAGTCAGTACACTGGCCTCGATGCAATTGAAGACCCGACCCAAAAAATTGGAGACCCATTTGTCAATGGTTGGGATCGCGCCGGTCTGCTTTTAGCCTGGCCCTACCGGACAATCTCAACCCAAAGCAGTGGGATTGTCAGTGCTCGGTGAACTGAAGATGACTGTGGTCTTGGCAGTGGATGACCATACGTGCAGTAACGTTAACTAGATAAATATGTGTATGAGTGTAAGCAAACAAGGGAATTATCAGCTTCTGAGACATTGGAACCTTAACTGATCCTTGGTTGAGGCCCTGATCGGCAGAGAGCCCAGCTGTCACTGCTTGAATTGTAGCCATTGCTAGGCAATAGAGCTGAATTGCGGTGTAATCGTCCCAATCTGGCGGATTGAAGCTGCATTGCCCATACTATCGATTTCCTGATCGGGCAATGATGGCCTTGAGAATGCCTCATGGCGCCCCGCTCTGGTGGTACGTTAGTAGCCTGAGTGCCTGAGGCATGAAACTCTCATCAAGGTGGGGGTGGAAACTTCCATCAATAGCAGATGCATGAGCGGGTTTCCTCCATTCCCTCTGTGCATTAATCTTTTTTTTCCCACTTTGGGTTTCCATTCAATACAATTTTACTTTAGGATCTCGCAGCAGAGATTCTCTTGGTCCGACGATCTACACTGAAATTCCCCGAGCAGACCGCACTGATCAAGGAGAAACCCCCCTTTCCACAGATTGTCGATCAACTTGACCAGTAGCAACCATGGCCGACGCAGAGTTGGAAGAGGTCAGTATGCCAGCCTCATGCTCCGACCTTTCGATCTTCCCCTTCTGGCATCATGGTGCCATATTCGACCCCGTTCTTTCCCATCAGTGTATCGTTCTTCGACCCTAATGCTCAGACATGTAACAGATCAGACGGGCCCGCATGGCTCAGCTCCAGCAACAGAGCGGTGGTGCACGCGGCGGGCCAGGTGACGGCCAAGAAGATCAGAGAAAGTACGCACTCCTTACAACTACTCACATGATTGGAACCACTAATCGCTAACACTTCGTCAAGACAAGCTGAAGGTATGCGCAATAGCCATCCCAGATCCACCTGTGACATGTGAAGAGGGCCCGACCTGGAGCAACCTCCGCGCCATCTTTCCTCCTCCACCTCCGACCACCGCGCTGCAAAAAATAAAAACTGTACTCACCATAAGCTCCCCAACTAGCCGACCGCCGTGCCTCCATTCTGAACCAGATCCTCGAACCGGAAGCCGCCGACCGCCTGGGCCGCATCCGCCTCGTCAAGGAATCGCGCGCCATGGACGTGGAGAACCGCTTGATCATGCTCGCGCAGACCGGCCAACTGCGCCAGAAGGTGTCGGAGGACCAGCTGAAGCAGCTGCTCAACGCCATGGCCGAGAACCAGCGCAAGGACGAGGAGGAGCACAAGATTGTGATCTCGCGGCGCAAAGGTGGCTGGGACGACGACGACGATCTGTTGGACTTGTAGAGGCGACAACAACAAATCTGATGTGATGAAGTGTTATTAGCGAGAGAGACGTTTGACGTCCGCAGGTGATGATGATGGTCTTTTGCAGTCTCTTTTATGATACCTTTCGCCTGCTCCTCTTTTCTCCGGCCCAGTCTAGATTCTGGGTGAACCATGCATGCGCTTTATGTTTGGGTTATTGGCTCTGCAGCGGTGGCGGGAAAAATGGCCTCGATATGAAAAGCTACTCTTACGCCTGCTTCGTGCGGAAGGCCGGCTTGCGTACAGCCTACTCCGCGTGACCTTTGAGTCCTCCTTCACACCTCTCTATCAACCCACGTAGATCCACCAACCAAATCAAGGAAATTCTTTTAAACCAGAAAGAACAATATATCCATGCCATGCAATACTATAATATACACAGGTATCACCACTACCAAGCCAAAGTCCAACACACTACAACCCGGCCGTCGCCGCAGCCGCCTCCTTCTCCCTCTTCTTCTGCATGCGGATCATCCTCCGGATCTCGCGCATATCCGGCGGCCTCTCGATGCCCAACTCCTCGCGCAGCTCGCCGACATCCTTCTCCAGGATCTTCTCCCAGTAGACATTGATGAGCTCCTTGCTCTTCAGGCCACTCTTCACCGCCCACGGCAGATAGATCTTGAACAGCCGCTCGCGCTCGGCGGGCTTCAACCGCACCGAGGCGAACAGGCTCAGCCCCGTCATCGGGATCAACGTGTTCAGAAACTCGAACGCCTTGAGCGCCAGCTCCCCCTCCACGAAGATGGGCAGGCCCGTCACGGCGTGGTAGAAGTCGTGGCACTCGCGGTACCGCTGCATGACGTAGGCGCACTCCGGGTCGTCGATGTACTGCACGTTGTCCCGCGTGTCCGGCGACACGCCCTCGCGGTCCAGCCAGGTCGCGTACGTCCGCCCCACCGTGTTCTCCGGCAGCGTGCGCAGGTAGGACATCTGGAGCGTCTGGGAGGTGATGCGCGGTCGGTCGCGGAGGATCTGCCGCCCCGTCGGGTCGGAGAGCATCGCGTCGCGCAGGCGGTAGATGAAGTAGGGGGTTGCCGTGGCTTCGCCGCAGGTTGCGATGAGATCTGTTTGGTGATCGTGTTCGTGGTTAGTGTGGGTCATTGGATATAGAGGGGAGGAGGCGTGATTGCGGAGAGGAGAATGCGGGGCGAGGTTGATGAGGAAAAACAAAGGGTTTAAGACGCACCAGCTCGGCGAGGGTTAATGAGAGCTCCAAAAGCAGAGCCGACGGCCAAAGCTCCGCGCTCGAAAAAGGTCAATGGCACATGGCCGGGATAGTTTGGCGGAGGGCGGTTCCAGGCGGAGAAAGACCGCGCGGATCGAGGCTGGAGGGGAACAGGAGCTGCGACTGTGGCTGTGGCAAGGAGGTTCAGCTCCCGAACGCTGAGTGCAGCGCTGCGCTTCCCGAGAACAGACATCTTAGAGGTTCAAAGGGACACCACGTCGCACTGGACTCGAGCTTCGTGGGGGGGGCAGTGGTCGGTCGAAATAGATGCAAGTGGTACGATTTCGGGGAGATTCCGGATAGCGTGAGTGGTGGGTCTGGCGTGCCGTACCGCCTGATAAAGATCGATAAGATTAAAAAAAAAGAGACCTTTCTTTATCGATTGGGTTGAGCGCGGGACCATTCCCAGATAATTTGCGACGCAGCCGCATTGTCACAATCGCGAGATTCATTGAACAGGAGAGCCAGCCAGCAATATATCAGTTGTCGACATAATCATCCGATCGATCAGATTACGGTTATCTCCAACATCAACATAAGAACAACACCGCATCACCCAGCTCGACAATCGCAAACATGCGACCCACCTGGTGGCCCGGCGAACAACATGAAGCTTTTACCGAATGGGCGTTATCCCAAGGCATCGCCATCAATGGAGTCAGTCCGGCACGATTTCCCGGTCGAGGACTAGGAATGATCGCCACACGGCATATAGAAGTACGACAAAGACACAACCAACCCAACAAAGCCGCCAGCCATCTACTGACCCAAACCCACCAACCCAGAAAGACGAAGCCATCGTGACAGTGCCCCACGAAGCCATGCTAACCCCCTCACGCATCCCGACCTCCTTCTCCAGCAGATTCCCCGACGGAACCCCTACCCACGCTGTATACGCCGCCTATCTCACCAACGGCGACCCTGCCGACCTGGAACCCTACACCCTCTGGCGGCGCACCTGGCCCACCCGCGCCGACTTCGAAGCGAGCATGCCCATCCTCTGGCCTGCGTCATTTCGGCATCCAACAAAAGCCGAGCACTCGTCGTCGTCGTCGTCGTCGGCACTCCCCAAATCCGACGCCCCAGCCCTCCCCCTCCCCCCTTCCATCTCCGGCCAATGGACCACGATCCCGCCGCAACCATGCGCGCACGACTACGAAACCACCCACCAGAACCTCCTCGCGCAGCAGGGACAACGCCTGCGCAGGGACTGGGACATGGTGGCTGCCGTGTTCCCCAACACCGACTGGGACCAGTTCTCGTATCATTGGCTGATCGTCAACACGAGGAGCTTTTTTTACTTGGTGCCCGGCCAGGAACCGCCGGAGGACCGCAATGATGCCATGGCTCTACTGCCTTTCGCTGACTATTTCAATCACTCGGATGTAGCGGTGAGTTCGGCCATTCAAGCGTGCGTGCGTGTGTGTGTGCGCGCGCGCGTTGTGTCGGGGAAGTGGTATGGCTGACTTTTTGGGGATGGGTGTCTCAGTGCAACGTCAAGTTTGATGGGCTTCATTATGTGTTTCGCGCGGCTAGGGAGTACGGTATGGTTGGATCACCTCATCGTCTTAAGTTGCCTGGAAGGTTATTGGGGGTTGATTTATTGATTGACTCCTTGTTGGTATGTCGCAGATGAAGGGGATGAGATCTATATGAGCTATGGTCCACATCCGAATGATTTTCTATTCACTGAGTGTGGGTATCCACCCAGCCCTAGACTTGCGCTCTTGGTTGACCTCGTTTTATAGATGGTTTCTACTTGGAGGAAAACGAATCTGAGACTCTATATCTCGATGCCATTATATTCAAAGATCTCGGCCCTAAATTGCAAGAGGAACTGGATTTCCATCAGTACCTGGGGTATGTACAGTACTATCGCTCCTGCTTCCGTTGTGATGCAGATCACCGTCGCTAATCCGGGGCCAACCAGGAACTACCAACTCACAGCCGGTGGTGTTTGCTACCGGACCGAAATCGCCGCCGCGATCACATATATGACGCCCAAGGACTGGCAGGATCATGTCCTCGGCTACTCGAGTCAGAGTGTGGATGAGAGGAGATCCGCTAAGGTCGTCCAAAATTGGATTGGCGCATATATCGAAGAGGCAGATACAGCGATTCGATATCTGGAGAGTGTTCTGTCCGGTAAGAGCGACCAATTCCACCCAGAAAAGGTACAAATGCTCCTGAACCGGTGGAGACAGATTAGACGGCTCTGCTTTCAAGCCCTAGATACGGTTCCCTGCTAGGGATATAGGCATAATTGAAAGGAAATTGTTTAGGAAATGACCCGAACCTGGGAGCATCCTGCGGTCTAATTCGGATTATGGAGCGCTTCGAAAATCCCTTTTTCGCCCTTCCATGGGGACATCAATGGGAATTGCAGAGATTTCCTTTTGTCTGGTCTCATATGTCTTTCCTTGGATCAATGCTTGAATCATGTAGTTCATCACTGGTTTGAGGCCGAGCTCCTCGCCTCTGCGCACGATGTAGCCGTTCAGAAACTGGATTTCAGTTACCTTGCCCGCATTGATATCACGCAGCATATTACTCTCCTGGCCGGCAGTCCTTTCGGCGATTTGGGTGAGCAGGCGGCGTATGCGCTCCGGGCCGAAGCGGACCTCGATCCCAGGAATTGACCGAACCTCGGGCAGAGCGGCGATAATGCTACATGTTTCGAGGAGGAGGAGGCGCGTGAGACGGGTGAAGTGGTAATTGTAAAGAGTAGCACCGTTTTTGAATCCCATGAGCGCGGTCAGCGGTTGGAGAACGGATTGAACCGCGATTTGCTCCAGCTGGGTTAATAAGAGATCGGTCGGGGCTGCTGCAGTAGCGACGAGTGGCGCGGTGGTGGTCAGAATGCGCATGAGGTATTTGGTGGTTCGAGCCCAGGCTTGCGTCCAATAGATTTTCTCGGCCTCAGCTAAAGACAGTTTGTTTTCCTGCGGTGGAACCCCTAATACAAGTGTGCCCAGCTGAGCATGATAGAATTGAAAACTGCCCTTTCTCCGACGAATGTAGTGGGTGAATACTCCTTGCATGTAGTGCGGTCGTGTCATCGGGTCCGGAAAGCAGTGCTTATTGATTTCTTCCATCGTGCCCAGGCCGTCTGAGAGGATCAGGATCGTCGAATCAGGCGTCAAGCGATGCTGAATCGATTCCACGGCCAGGGCGGTCCAGTTCGATCTGACAGGGATGATTGCACACTCAATCTTCGAGTCATCCTGTTGGAATTGCACAGTTCCGGGAGACTCAGGTTCCGCCGCGCCATAGAAGTCGCCCTCATATTCGAGCGTGTCATGATCTCCGTAGTCTCCCTGCTCGGTCGTCTGGGGAATCGAGTACCAGGTAGCCTTGCCCCTCCTGACGTTCACATCAAAGCCGGTCTTGATGTCCTCCAACCCATTCGCTTGCAAACTTATGCTCTGTTTCGCAGCCACCCATTTTTGGTAGGTGCCAAAATCATTCAACATCAAAGTGATAGGCGGCACAGACCGTCGACTTGCTAATGAGTGAGCAATAAATAAGGCGTCATTGTCACTACCCACGATGTGTATGCGCCCTGAGAGCCGGGAATTGGAGCCGGCGTCGAGCGATTCCTTCGGTTCATTGGCAGAGTTCGACATGAAGCAACTGACGGTAAATTGCCGAGCTTTTAATACCGATGAAAAGCATGATGTATATGGTCCAGTCCGCCACAGCGGACTGCGTCTGAATATGTACGACACTTTGAAAAGCTGCCGCGGAACAGCGGTCTTGAGAAACCGGGGGCCCGGGGGAATGTACCCTGTGTGGAGACAGTGGTCGTTCTCCTCCCTGAGCAGTGTCTGATTTCAGGTGAGATATGGGCAATTAAAGCCAGGAATATCTGATCATAACAATATTAATTAAACCGTTCAGTAAGTTTCGGGAGAATGGAAGATGAAAGCTAAGTGAAAGATGCGAATGAAGTAAGAGGCGACGGACAATTTTGACCCGCCACCGCTTCGCTCACCGCCTTCGGCGCCGAAAAAATCACCCTATTGTACCAGATTTTCGAGGTTCCTCCTTTCAGCATACAAAGAACCGTGCTCAAGATGGAGGCTGCAGATCTACTCCCGCTGCTTGAGCAGCTAGATGAAAACATTGATGACCTCGAGGAGATTCTCCAGCCTGTGCTGGACGGCTCCGCTGTGAAGACATCGAGCAATCTTCCAGTACTGGACAAAGCCAAATTCCATGTCTTGGTCACTTATACCTTGGAATCTCTCATCTTCTGTAAGTCATCATTCCCTCGGCGATAGCTGTGTATGTACTGATTTTGCCATAGCCTGGTTGCGCCTGCACGGTGTTAACGCCAAGGAACACCCGGTCTTTCGCGAGTTGACCCGAGTGAAGCAATACTTTGAAAAGATCAAAGAGCTGGAGACGGGCCCCGAGCAACGCACTCTCAAGCTCGACAAAGAGGCCGCCAGTCGCTTCATCAAACACGGTCTTGTAGGTTCTATTCTAGGAGTCGGCAGTCTTCTTAGCATGGCAGTACTAATCAGCGGCCAGGCTGGAAATGACAAAATCGACTTGGAGCGCAAAGAGCGAGAGGCGAAGGAAAGAGCACGCGCGCAGCTCAAGGCATCACTCCTAGCGAAGAAAGACTCCTCGACCTCCGATCCACCGACCAAGAATGTCACCGACGATTCCGAATACGAGTCTGATGCCGAAAGCGACGACGCGGACGAGAAACCCGCACCGACCACCCAGAAGAGCAAGAAGAAGCAAGCCAACGACGACAAGAAGAGGACCAAGGACAAAAAACGGAAGAAACTCAACAAAGAAGAACGCAAAGAAGTCAAGAAGGATAGGCGGAAGAAGAAGGGCGACATGCGCAAAGCGAAGAATCTCAAATGAGGTGGCCTCTGGATCTTCAACAGTGCACATGGCTTAGCATTGTGGTCGGCTGGTCCGCTCTACATGGCTAAGCACTACTCCGCTTATCAATCACAACTAGCACTTTTGATCGTTGGCCGAGTCGCATTCGGGTCTGTTTCTAGGGTGTCATAAACCCCGCTACGAAGGGAGCCCTCAAGGCCTATAGCATGGGTTAACTAGGAGGACTCGACGGAGACTATGGTCCGGACCGGCTCCTGACCAAACCATGTGATGCGCAAGGCTGGTCGGGTATCCGTTCCTGAGTATTGTGCGAGCCGGCAGCTGTACCTCGTACAGCGCGACAGTGGAACCGGCGCGACGCTTGGACTCTTCCACTAATTACTGCAAGGTTCCACCACAGCCGAACAGTGGCAACATGGAATCTTGAGCTGGTTACACATACATGCTCAGCCGTGCGGATCATGGGCATGTTTGGCGGTGACTCATGAGGGAACATCGGCCGGAGATAAGGCGTGTTCGATGGATGGATAACTCCGTATATAGGCCGCGATCAAGGAATTTTAGTCGAAGGTTTCCGTCCAACTGCTGTAAATCTTTCCAATGACTGTGCAATCGATGGAGCTTTAATGCAATAGTTATTCGAATTCTGCTGTCCACAGGTATCAATTCAGTGTAAACCGATAATCACATGATAAATCTTAGGTTCAATCCATCCATGATTTGAGTGTACAGTACCTGAAGTGGCCGAGGAACTCGACCAATCAACGACAAGTTCCGAATTGCCGGACCGGAAGCTGACATAAGCCGAGACAGCACCAATCAGCAGTGGCGAAATAGAGGCACAGCATCGGAGGTTTGGAACTTTCTCCGCCCGACGGGGATTCGAGCTTGTTCTTTTTCCATAAAGACAATCTTCTCCCCCATCTGATCCATCTTTTGCCATCCAGACCACCACTTCCTTCTCAACACCAACCTCAACTCCCTTCTATCATCCCACCCATTCACCCACCAACACAGTCCAAAATGCCTCGCCAACGCCGTGGTGCCGCTCCCACCCCCGCGCGCAGCGCTCCCACCAGACCTACTGCCGCACCCGCCAGACCGGCTGCTCCTGTCCAGCAGCAGCACAGCCAGCCTCACTCGACCTCCGCGCACCCTCCCGCCGCTGCTCCTGCCGCTGCTCCCCCGGCCCCGATGGCTGCTCCTGTCCAGAGCTCCGGCCCCGGTCTCTTCGGCCAGATGGCTTCCACTGCTGCGTAAGTAGGCCCGGGCGGTTGCCGTGTAGTCCCCTTCCGCCTTGAACCAAAGACCACCCGCATCGCCCCGGTTTTTCCCTTCCACAACCCTTATAACATAACTGACCGACCAAAAAAACAGTGGTGTAGCAGTCGGATCCTCCATCGGCCACGCCATCGGCGGGTTCTTCAGCGGCGGCGGCTCCAGCGCCCCCGCCGAGGCCGCTGAGGCCGCTGCTCCCCCGGCCGCGCCCCAGGCCATGGACAACGCCCTCTGGGCCGGCAACGCCACCAACAGCTCCTGGGAGAACCCCGCCTGCGCCACCGACGTGCAGAACTTCCGTCGCTGCATGGACGAGAACCAGGGCAACATGTCCATCTGCGGATGGTATTTGGATCAGCTGGTTCGTCATTTCCCCGTTTTCACATTGCCCTTTTGTGACAGAAGGGTGTGCGGGTAGAATGTGTGAGAGAGATTGCTAATTTTCTACATACAGAAAGCCTGCCAGGCTGCTGCTAAGCAGTACTAGATTTATTGAAAGAAAACGGTCAAATGTAAATCCATATCTCCGTTTGGATTTGAATTTCTTTTGACATAAGAGATCGATCTATGCTGCATTTTTATTTTCCTGGTTTCGAATTGCATGATGCAAACTCATCACATACCATACCCCCTTTGACATCTCCGACAACGGGTCTCTCTTCCAGCTTTTTTTCTTTGGAGTGCTGGTGTTGGGGAATGTACTTTTCTGTCTAGTTATGTTTTCGTTGCCTTGTGGAATGGGATGGAATCAATCTCAAGTCCCTGTGTCACCTGAGGCAGGGCTTGTGCTGCTAAATGGTTGAGATATATCATCTGCCTGTTTTCCCTTCTTTTCTGCATGGCGACGAAGACTGGCTACCATCATCATCATCATCAGCAGCAGCAGCATAATGACTGCCACTACTACTATTACCCTTGTATATCTAGATTAACCATCACGAAAGCCGATAGGCACGAAAAACGAAAACGAAACAAAGAAAGAAACATTTTTACTCTTCATAGACATACTCCCGGTAGTCTCGTAGTCTCGTGTTTCCCAGATCCCGGTAAAATAGGTAGTGCTATCGCTATACTACATACGTCTGAAGAAAGTGATCCAATCTCTCGACGACTGAGCTCAAATTACAGTACACAATGCCTTCATCGGCGGTCCGTATCATCCCTGCGTGGTTGGAAGTTCAACTACGGCTCGTTGTTAGCAATGGCACGGACGTAGTTCACAATGAGACCAATGATGGCGGTTGCTTACCTGGTTCCCGTTATAGAACTGATTATTCTCCTGCTCATCACGTTGATCTCTCAGCGTCCGAATAATCGGGCCTCGGTTCGAGGTGCCAGCAGGCCGAGCCCTTCGGTCCGCATCACTCGTCGAGGAGGTACTGGTAGAGGGTGATCCCGTCTGAGCAGAGCTCGGATTCTGAACCGTCGATCCGTATCCCAAGAATGAGCCGACTAATCCTGTGGCGGTGCCTACCGCGGAGGTGAAGAGCCCGTACGCGGAGGACACGGCGCGAACGGGAAGGCTGGATCCTGCTGCGGAGTAAGCGTCTGTGTATGTGCTGATGGGCACCATGACAAGATTCGCGGATGAGCCGAGGCCGAGCTCTGCCAGGCTTTGCTCTTCCTCGGCGATCGTCAGGGTGCGGTTAGAGAGAGGAGTGAGAATGTGCTTGAGGTTGTAGGGACGCTTCTCCTCTAGCATTTGCGTGTCAAGCCAGGGGCGGACATCTGCGCGGATGGTTTGCGACGGGGAGAAGCTGGAGCGGACGGAGCTTCCGTCAAAGAGGCGGACTTGGAGACGGTATTGTTTCGGGGGGGAGGGAGGTTGGTGGACTTGCGGTGCTTCAGTCTGAGGGGATGGGGGCGTGGGTTTGGGAGTCGAGGCGACGGGCTTCGATAGGGTTTTGCGGGGTGGCTGTTCTGGAGTGATGGCCTTGTTGGCTTGCTTGGGCGCTAGGGTGGACTTCTTCTGCGTCGCGGCTGGGGTCGTGACTTGGGATATTCGCGCATCCTCCACTCTCTTCTTGCCCTCGCGCCTACTCGAGTCGCGTGTCTCACTCGCACCAGATGCTGGAATCGATGAAGTGGCAGTCACAGGTGCAGCTGCAGGCGCAGCAGCTGGCGGCGCAACAGCTGTGGACACAGGCACGGTAGGCGGACTCGCAGTACCCTCCTTAGCATCCCCAGACGCCCCAGTCGAGTCCGGTTGAGCAGTGGCTTGAGTTTCATTCAGCTTGGCAGCAAGACGACTGCGGAAGTCCTCCTCGGATATCTCCGGCACGAGATAGTCGCACAGCATGCCATTCCTGCAAGACCGTCAATAAACCTGACAACAAACACGAGTACTGAATACACCCGCACTTACTTTATGACAACGACCGTCGGAAACTTGACAATGGGGCAGAAAGAGGTCAGAAAGCCCGCTTCCTGACTATCTTTGGTTAGGCGCAAGAGGACAGCTCTCGTCTCGAGTAACCGGGTGAACTAAGCCGTGAGTGGGGGAGCGTGATATAGATCCGATGGAGCAGCTACTGTTTACCTCCTCATCCCCTGTGAAGTAGTTGTCCTCCCATGTACTGCTCGTCTGCTCATCATCTAGATCCGACGTCAGCTCCGAAATTCCGAGTACGTACCAAGCAGTTGGAGGGGCGGTGCCAGCAATGCGGAGAAGGGACAGCTCTCCAAACAATGAAAGCAAAGTAACGAACCTCGAACGAAACAAACAACAGCCTTAGCCTGGCTGACAGCGGAGACAATGCCCTCCTGTAGACTCCCCGAATAGAACATGATTTCAGGAAGAGATACGAATAGTTGTCAAGTTAAAGAGAAGGGAAACGAAATCACAAGCAAGCATGCAATCAATGGGTGGAGAGGTGGAGAGGTTCGGAGCGCGGAGGAGGTGACAATCGATAAGGCAAGGCGGGAAGCGGACTGGGAGTGGGAGTCGACTGGCTCTCTCCACTCCACTCGCTCACTCACTCACTCATTTACTTTTCCCTCTCTCCGCACCGCACCTCTCCTCCCCACTCCCACCCACCAACCCTCGAACCCATTCAATTGTGTCACGAGAGTGTCACGAGAGGGGACACCCATATACTCATCAACATGCGATCCCTCATCTCAGCCCTCTACCGGAACGCCGCATCCTTGCGACCCGCCTCACGAACCGCAACCACAACCGCCTCAACCTCTTCCTCCTCCTCCTCCTCCCTCCGTCGCACCCCCCGAACGAACGCCATCTTCTTCCAGCCCAAACCCCTCAACTCAATCTGCACCAGATGTCGCATACAGCAACAAACCCGATCCTACAGCAATCAATTAGCCGATGATCCCGCCTGGCTCTCCGTCGTCGATAATCCCGCGAAGATCGTCCGGACCGGAAACAAGCATGGGCCCGGATTGATTATCCTAGGTATGTCTCTATCTTCTACTCCCCCCCCGGGGGGATTCTTCTCCTACACCATTCCATAATCTAACCAAAAAAAAATAGCCTTAATCCCCATCATCTCCTTCGGCCTGGGAACCTGGCAAATCTACCGCCTGGACCGGAAGACCAAGATGATCGCCACGTTCGAAGACCGCCTCGTGAAAGACCCGCTGCCGCTGCCGCCGCGGATCGACCCGGCCGCGATCTCCGAGTTCGACTACCGCCGCGTCTACACGGTGGGCCGCTTCCGGCACGACCAGGAGATGCTGGTGGGGCCGCGGATGCACGACGGCACGGACGGGTTCTTCGTGGTGACGCCGCTGGAGCGCGGCGAGGGCCAGTCGACCATCCTCGTGAACCGGGGGTGGATCTCGCGGAAGCAGAAAGACCAGAAGGTGCGGGATCAGGAGGGGGCGCTGCCGCGCGGCGACGTCGTGGTGGAGGGACTGCTGCGCGAGCCGTGGAAGAAGAACATGTTCACGCCGGAGAATGTGCCCCAGGAGGGCAAGTTCTACTTTCCTGATATTCAGCAGATGGCGGAGTTGACGGGTAGTCAGCCCGTTTGGATTGAGCAGACTATGGGTATGTTTTTGACTTTCTACGTGTTTATGTGCAAGCGGGGAGAAAAGGAAGCCCAGAGCTAACGTTGGTTTTTTCTCGTTCAAATTATAGTGCCGGATCTGGTTGAGTCCTATAATCGGGAGGCTAAGGGTATTCCTATCGGTCGTGCCGCCGAGGTTAACTTGCGCAATAACCACAGCCAGTATATCTTCACATGGTGAGTTTTCTCCAGCTCTCGCAATGCCAGGGCATCATTACCCCCGAAGAATCCCTGCTCATGCACTCTATAGGTACGGCTTGTCGCTGGCAACGACCATCATGTTCTGGATGATCGTTCGCAAAAGACCGAACGAGGCCACTCGTCGTGTCCGGTTGAATCGTAACTGGTAGGTCTGTTCCGGGGGTCGATCTGCACCTTCCAGGGGCATGTCGCGTGGGGCTTGTATGTTAAGAAAGATTTATGTATATGTACCGACCATTCATGGTGGCATCGCCAATCTCATATCCTGCAACAGCTCTTTCGGGAGATGCTTTTGTGCAAGAGAGAAGACAGTAGTGGCATTGCTCAGATGCCGTTGTCTAGTTCAAGGAATTAGTACCCGTCGTAATAATAGCGGATTTGGGGTGCTCACCGCCTCATCAAAGTTGTGACGTCGCTCTCATCGATCGTCTTGCGCCCAGCATGCTTGGCATATGCTGCCAGATCGTCACTGGCCTGTTCAAAGAACCACGACGAGGCCTGTTCAATCGCCGCCAGCGTCTCCTTGCTGATTTTCGCCTTGGACCCGTTTCGTGCCCGCGCAAAGCGCATGGCCAACTTCTTCACCACACCAACGGGTAGATTAGGAACCGGGATGCCGTGGCGGGAGAGCTTCTTTTGCTTGACGCCAGGAGTATACTGATCTTCCTCCCGCAGACCTCCACCGACAATACCAGGACTTCGGCTCTCGCTCATTGCGACAGATTCCCGGGCCGGGAATTCCATGCCAAAGTCTCCGCCAGCGTTAGACACACTACTGACATCATCGTCATCGCCAGGCCCAACGTCCATATCGAGAGGCATATCCACTGGTGGAAGCTCAAATCCCTCATCGTCGTGCATCGGTGCGTTCTGGTCCAAATCGCCGACTCCCGGGGCTGGCGGCGATGGAAAATTGAACTCGAAGTTGAATCGGCCCAAGTCCTCGGTGTCTCCCCTGCGTGAGACATGTCAGCTATGTAAAATGACGCTCCGCATGAAATAGGCTTGACCCACCCTCGATCAAAAGCCCCTTGGCTATCAATGGTCTCGTCTGCTTCGTCTCCGGCGTCGTCGCCATGCACAAGCCCCGTATCATCCTCGTCGTCCTCGTCGTCACTATCCAACCGAGTCGCATCGCCGAAATTCTCACTCAACCGCGGGCCCATCATTGACAGTCTGCCCCTTTCTAGTTCGTTTGCAGCTCGCCTCGGGTATTCAACCGTGATATCATCTTCCTCGATCGCCAGGGATAGCCTCGGAGGACGCATCTCCGGCTCCTCATCGACCTCGTCAACTTCCTCTAACGGCAGGGATAGCCGGGGTCGTTCCAGCTCGGGTTCGTTGTCAAGGATCTCAAACTCGTCCTTCTCAGGCTCGACCGGCTCTGGAGCCACGGGCTCCGGTTTCTCACTGGGTGACGAACGAATTGGTTGGGTAGTCGGGGCAAGTGCTACTTCAGGTCAGCCGGCTTTGTCCCAAAAGGTTTCGCGCATTCGTGAGTAAGTTCTTTAGAGGATGAAAATAGCATCGGAATGTGAAAGAGGGGACCGCACCCTTTCCCAGGTTCCGAAGGATGTCGAATGTTGTTTCACGTTGGATTCGTCCGCTCTTCCTGCGATCCCGGCCAGGGGTGTTCGCATTCCGTCGCTGAATTGCGTTGAGTCTGAATGGGGTGGCAGGCGCACCGGCGCCTCTATTACGCGGTGTAAATTTGTTGGCGGAGGGAGTGGTATTTGACATCGCGTGTCGGCTGGGAGTGAGGGGGTTTCTGGTTGGGATTGGAAGACGCGAAAGCTGTGTATATAGTACGAATGGTAAGCATGTATACTCATTCAGAAATATGGAGAGGCCGTACCCGAGTGAGTGTGGTGTCCCCAATTGGGGAGAAGGATTCCGAGACCTCGGACAGTCGCGGTGACCGGCGCCGGGGGTTGGGAGTAGTCGACATTGTTGCGGAGAATTGCCACTCAAGCTATGGGAGATTTCAGGTCTTGGCAAAAGGCACAGTAGCAGCGTCTTCTCAAAGAGATCTAGCAGTAAGAAATGACCATTGCGACCTGTGCTCGACTGAAACAACGCCTGGTAGCAGACGAGAGGGAAAAGCGCGTCGTTGAAGCAAATGCGGATGGGGTGAACCCGTGCCACGGATGTGACGACGCCCGCGCGGCAGACGATACTCTCGAATCAGAAGGCGGTCAAGCGAGCATGGTGGGTCCGGACTTGATTGGCGGAACCCGTTTATCTTATCGATAAGACAGCGCTGACTCAGCTTAAAAAGTTGGCGCAAGAGACAATCGCGATCGAGTTCAATACGCAATCCTGCCATTGAAGGCTTTCCTCTGCAGTGAAGAAAGTTTTAATCTCCAGACCAGAATCATGTCCGACGGAAACCCAAAGCCTTCCGGCCTGGCCGCCAAGGTGGACAAAAAGCGCAAGAGGCAGGCCGAGGAATCCAACTCCAAGACGGAGCAGCAGACCAAGTCGACTGGCAACAGTGCGTCGGATGGACCGAAGAACAAAAAGAGAAAGGATAGCAACAACAAGGGCAAGTTCGACAAGAAGAAGGGTGGAAACAAGGGCAAGGACAACAAGGACAAGCCGAAGCAGCCCAAGGAGCCCCAGGAGACCAAAGCAACAGAGGTCAAAGGCAGCATCGATGAAGCGATCGGAAAGATGGACGGTCGATTGTTGGCCGATCACTTCGCCCAGAAGGTTCGCCGGCATAACAAGGAGATCACTGCTGTTGAGCTGAGTGATCTGTCTGTACCTGGTATGAGGCTTTCCCAGCCCTATACAGTGTAGAGGGCCATCCATATACTAAACATTTGAAGACTCCGCTTTCCTCGATACCTCATCCTTCGAATCTCCCCGCAACCTCGAAAACCTCCCCGCTTTCCTGAAAGCCTTCAGCCCCGAGAAGGGTGCGCACCTGGCTAAATCGTCTGAGGAGAAGGGAACCCCCCATACGCTGGTGATCGCCGGTGCTGGTCTCCGCGCCGCCGATGTCGTCCGGGCCCTCCGCTCATTCCAGAACAAGGAATCCATCGTGGGCAAGTTGTTCGCGAAGCACATCAAGCTGGAAGAAGCCAAGCAGTTCTTGGAGCGCGCACGGTATGTGACTCTTCCAGGCTTACTATCCTGCAACACACAGACCGACTAATTCCACTGATAGTATGGGCATTGGTGCCGGTACCCCAGCCCGCATCTCGGACTTGATCGATTCAGGTATGACATCATCATGTGCGCTATTTTAAAGTCGGTACATTTCTAATTCATTCTAGGGTCCCTCAAACTCGGTGAACTGGAGCGCATTGTCATCGACGGCTCTTACGTTGACCAGAAGCAGCGCGGCATCTTCGATATGAAGGAGACGCATCTCCCCTTGCTGCAGCTGCTCACGCGGCCTGAGTTCAAGGATCGTTACGGTGCAAAAGCCAAGGGAATCAAAATCATGGTATTTTAGAAAAAGCGATTGTACATATATGAAGGTGTTGGCGTTTGTCATACGGTCTAAGCATATCTTCTTCACTGGATAGTAATATATATTAAATTCTAGCTGCCGCATTGCCGACCGTGCAAATTCTGTCCTGGTTGACTACGACTCTACAATCAGTATATGAGAAACAGGTCAAGCAAGAACTTGTATATATAGACGGGTAAAGATAGTGTAAATATATATGGAAGATAACCTCAACAGACAGGTCATCAATCTACCAAAGTGGCCTCCTCAAACATTCGCATCATACAATCCAGCGCGTCGGCCACCTCCTCCCCTTCATACTGTGCTGTCAGGCAGTCAATGCCAACGGTCAATTCTTCGAAGGTAACAGCCTCCAAGCGGGGACAAGTCGTCTTTACGCAGCTGAGGAACGTAGTCCATGAAGCGGACGTGATAATAGAGCACCCGGAGAAGGTCAGCGACAGTAACTGACCACCGATCAACTGCAGCCACTCTTGAATGTCCTCTAGAGCGACACCAGAGCGATGGATCTCAAGATGTTTGATCTCCGCCAGAGGTTTGACGTTCTTGAGCAGCGAGACCAGATCTCTGGACTGGCCGCTGATGGCATCACCAATGATGATCAGTCTCTCGAGCCGAGGCGCGGTTTGCATGATCTGGGGCAGAATCCTGTAGAGGTAATTAGCGAGGTGAAAGAAGTAGGGCTGCGTAACCTGCAAGGTAGCGAGCTCTGTCCAGGCGCGGGCAAGGTTTGGCTGCTTGTGCATTCGGGTGTATGGGCGGGCTCTTTTGGGCCTCTGGAACTCAGTATACCGGTGAGTATACAATGCCAGACTTTCCACAGGGAGCTCAGCCTCGACGAAAATGTGAAAAAGGATGTTAAGAACGTCGTCGCTGTCTAGGTACGTGAGGTTACCTTCCATCCAGCTGAGGCAGAGTTCAAAGCTTCTGCAGTTCTTAAGCGAGTGCACGAGGTCATCCTTGAGGGTCTTGATCTTTGGAACCGAGGTAGGATCCTTGATCAGGTCATACATAGTCACTCTATGAAGGGGGGTTAGAGGACCGAAGGGTGGCTCAATCCTCATTATTTTAACGTAGTTTTTCAATTCGTCGCACTCCGCAATTCGATGAATCCGAGAGAGACTCTGGTTGGAAAAATCCGTGCGAATAACGCGTAGTGAACGATTCCATACGGGCTCCAGAGCCTTGGTTGTCAACGTCCTCATATCTTTCGAAACAGCACGGAGAGAGAGCAAGTCCCTCGGACTCAGATAATCAGCCATCATGCAGATTAGCTCCGGAGGCAAAGATGTGACATCAGACATTACTATAATCAAAAAAGAAGAAAACAGTGAAGGTGGTGTTTGCGACGAAGCGAAGCTTGTAAATGCAGATGTATTAGACCTAACAAGCATTTTATATGGGTCTTCTCCAAAACGAAACAGAAATGCATTGTAGCAACAAAGGGTATTGTGTGTCGGTGAGAACAAGGAATAAGACAACGATGTCCTTGGCCATCAAAGAAATTCTGGGTTTCTCTGTCCGCAATGCATATGAAGAATGCCTGTCGTTCTTTTTTATACCAACAGACTTCAATTGTTACTCTTGACCACGTTGTTTGAACGGTGAGATTGGAAGAGTGTAGCATTGGGATGGCTGCTTTCACCATAACTTCTGGCTGGAATCATTCATAGAGCACCCGATAGACACACTAAAGTGTGGTCTTCGACGTGCTGGTTTTGGCATCTGTAGATGGGGTCCTCACTGTCTTCGGGCAAGTTTCGATCTCAAGGACGATGGCATGCCTTAAAGCTGATATGCTATTCGTTTCCGCAATTTCAGAAATCCTAGCTCAGGAGTCAGTCTCATCTCAAGCATAGCACCATTGTTCAAGGATTAAATCGTTTGGAAGCATGCTGACGTTGGTCCAGCTCCGAGTTTCAGTCTCATCCAATCTTTCATCTCCTAGTAGTAGCTTCAAGCTGTGAACTGATGAGATTGAACCTCGAGAGAAGCGACAGCGGCTAGGGATCTATACGCAGCGTAAATAATGCAAGCACAATGTCCAAGTGAGTAAGATCATGATCGAGTTCGCAGGTTATTGGCCAACTACCAGATGGAAGCAGCGACTGCATCAGAGAAGATCTACATTGGTGTTAATTAAGACAAAGTGCTTGACTGACAAATGTTGGTATGCAGAAGCTAGGACTTGGCCTTATCGTTGGCGCAGAGTTATGTGTCGTCTTTGAGAAGAAAGACAAAGCAGTCTATCACTTACTCATAGTTCAATTTGACCGAAGCGGAGGAAGTATGGTTCGACCCGGACACCTCAGGCATCACACATCTACCGCTCCACTTGATCTACCGCTATCTATCTCCGCCCGGCAGAAAAAGGAAATTTCCGAGATTTTTGGCTATCTTCGGGATCAGTTCCATTCCGGTTGAAACCATTGTCCACTACGAATTTGTTTTTTTTTTTTATTTTATTTTTTTTGGGTTCAAGATCCTCCCATTTCCTCTCAAATCAACATGAGCGACAAGAAGCGCAAGCTCACCGAGGAGGCTGTGAAGCCCGAGGGCAAGAAGGCCAAGCGCGACGAGAAGAAGGAGAAAAAGGAGAAGCGCAAGGCCAAGGATGTCGTTGAGGAAGTCAAAATTGAAGAGGCTGCTGCTGTAGAGAACAAGGACAAGAAAGAGAAGAAGGAGAAGAAGGAGAAGAAGGAGAAGAAGGAGAAGAAGGAAAAGAAGGAGAAAAAGGAAAAGAAGGAAAAGAAAGAAAAGCCCAATGCCGATGCGGAGGCCGCCGAAAACAACGAGGTAGAAAAGGAAGCACCCGAGGCTATGGATGTGGATGTCCAGGAACCCCAGGCGGAGGAGAAGAAGAAGGAGAAGAAGAAGAAGGAAAAGAAAGACAAGAAGGCCAAGAAGGCCAAGAAGGAGGACACGAATGTTCAAACAGATACCCCGTCCGCTGAGGCCCCAGCGGAGGAGTCCGCCCAGGGAGAGGAATCGAGCCAGAAGGGAAACAGGTTCATTTGCTTCGTTGGTATGCTTGAGACCAAGATGGCTGCTGGCGACGTGAGCTCATACATTTGTGACAGGCAACCTCCCCTACTCCGCTAACCGCGAATCCTTGACCGCGCATTTCGAGAAGATTTCGCCGGTATCCGTCCGCGTCGCAACTGAAAAGGACAAGCCGACCAAGTGCCGTGGTTTCGGGTTCATCGAGTTCGACAATTACGATCGCATGAAGACCTGCCTTAAGCTCTACCACCACTCTATGTTTGATGACAAGAAGTACCCGCCCCGGCGGATCAATGTGGAGCTGACGTAAGTGCCCATAAGACACTGGACACCGTTAGGGTGCGATGAAGTGCTGACTTACTGCAGCGCCGGCGGTGGCGGCAAATCGGAATACCGGAAATCGAAGATCGAGGCAAAGAACAAGAAGCTTTTCGAAGAGAGACAGCGGAATGCCAAGGAGATCACTAAGGAGAAGGAGCGCAGAGCCCACGTCGAGGAGACCGGTGAAGATGCCTTTGCGGGCGTCCACCCCAGCCGCAGAAACCGTATGGCTTAAGATCCACCTCTCGCCGGGTAGCGATCATAAGTTGATCAGTCTGGGCCAATCCCTGAAAAGAAATTCTGTGTTTTTTGTGCTCGCTTGAAAGATATCCTCCTGTTCTCTGTTTCTTATGTGCATACTTGGAAAGTGTCAAGCAGGATACTAGACTTGAAGAGACCAATTTTGTATATGACACGGCTCTGGCTTGACTATCAAACTATCTCTCGCATTGCAAACAAATCCAAACTCGTACGCTCACCGATGGCTTTCAATATTCGACAGTGAGGAAAAGGGAAGACGCTGAAGGCTGTGGTCCAACTCAGAAAAGACGCTCGTAGAGTGGTATTGTAATGGCATGTTACATCTTTATACTGCATTAGGACGGGAGGGAAAGAAGACACAGAGGGCGAGGTTATCCTGAACCTGGGTGGAATGGAGAAAAGAAAACTTCAGGATCATGGCACCAAAACAAGGAATGGGAGGGAGGACAACCAGCCAAAACCAGCAAAATGCGGGGCGTTACAGCCAAAACCCAGACGCCGAATTAGTTATTTATATTATAGGTCGGAAGATGCAGTGAGGGGGAGACGATCTACAGAATGACACATTTCTTGTTCTTCGGTTTCGCCGTAGGCCGGGGGTTGAGGACAGCACTGAGGGCAACTGGTTAGAACTCGAGACGCTAGCGCGGGGCAGTTTGCGAACAACAACAACAACAACAACAACAACAACAACAACATACCGAATGGCCTCGTCGAATACACTTTTCAGGTTACGCTGTGTGAGAGCGGAGCACTCCAGGTACTTGTGTGCTCGGATTTCCTTGGCCACGGCCAGAGCCTGTTCGTAGGAGACGGGCTCCATCTTCCTCTGGCGCAAAGTTTCTAGAGTGGCCCGATCGTCCCTCAGATCGAGCTTGGTACCGACGAGAATGATGGGTACGTTGGGAGCATGATGTTCGATTTCGGGGAACCACTGCAGGAGGGTCAGTCCAGATGTTCGGCATGCGACTTGGGGCAGGCGAGCATGGCCTCTCAGGGGTAAAGTACCTTGGCTCTCACGTTATCAAACGAGGGAGGGCTAACAATGGAGAAACAGATCAGGAATACATCGGTTTGCGGGTAGGACAACGGGCGAAGACGATCGTAATCTTCCTGTCCAGCAGTATCCCAAAGTCCTAAGCTGATCGGTCTGCCATCTACCATTACACTGGCAGTATAGTTGTCGAATCTGTGGGCCGGGTTAACAGGGTATTCGTATCAGACGAGAGCCTCCAAAGGAGCGGGATCACGGACACGGTGGGTATATATTCACCGGGGAAGGCGTTGGTTGTGTACGAAATCAGGAGACATGTCTGGCGGCTGCGTCAGCAATGGATGACCAGCAGAAGTTACCCAGCAGAAATGGGAACTGAGAAAAAACCACGTACTTTTCCAACAGCACCGTCACCTGTTACCACACACTGTAATCCAGCACTAAATGATTAGCTGCGGCTCGGTTGAGCAATATGGTGGATGTCGCTGGCAGGAGCTGACCTTCAGGGATTGAGTCGCAGGTCCTGTCGCCATCTTCGCTTTATGATTCTAGAGGGTATATGAACACAAATGATAAACACGGTTGCGACAGTCACGACAGATCGAGAGTAATGGCGAGTTCGACTCCACGGAAGCTCGAGGATTCAAAGGGGTCAACGGGGGGAGTGGGTTGCGTCGTGGCTTAACGGGCGGGCGTGTAACCAAGCAGCGCGGGTATCTGCTGAAGACCGAAAGGCAAATCGATCCGGTCAGGGAGGATTCACAATGCACAACGGAGATAACGGCGACACAACACCCAAGACACAAATACGCGGCCAAAGGTGCGAGACAGGAAATTAAGCAGGTGAAGTAAGAGGGATAATGGCAGGCAAATAAAAGAAAAAGGAAAAGATCCAAATGGAAGGATGAAAATAGAAAGACTAGGAAAGAAGATTGCAGAACAGGTGTGGAGGTGGAGGTGGAGGGAGGGAGGTGGAGAGGAGGTGAATGAAATAAAGAGAGGTGTGAATCAGCGGGTGAGAAATGTAAAGTAAGAGTGAGGGAGTCGATTGAGGAGGGGAGAGAGGAGGGGGGGATTGATCGATCAATCAATTCGGATTTGGTTTAGTGGATGAAGTGGATAATAGGAATGGGGGGGAGGAAGACCAAGTGTAGGAAAGGGACCTTCAAGGAAGAGGGGAAACAAGAACAGCAACTGATAGATAGCACAATACTGTGATCAAAGGAAAAGTAAGTGGAAGAGAGAGAGAGAGAAGGGATATACTCACGTCAGGGCCAAGGCAGAACTTTCGACAGGCAGGTGAATACACTAAATACTCCTTGAACAATATGAACAATGAGACTATTGATCAATAGATGCTTAGATGCTTTGATGCTCTGATACTTGATGCTTGGATGTTTGGTGCTTGATCTAATTGTCCCCCACGAGAATCGAGATAAGAGAGAGAATAAGAGAAGAAAGAAGAACAACCAGCCAGCCAGCCAGCCAGCCAGCCAGCCAGCCAGCCAGCCAGCCAGCCAGCCTGACTAGTCAAATTAACTAGTTGGTTGGGATTAATCCAATCCATCCTACAACTGGAATCATCATGAAGGTGGAATTGGATGAGATACTCGCGATGGCTGGGAAGCCAACACCAATCATAAGCGTGTATCCAATATCAGCCTCTTCTCTTGTCGAGAGCCATGATTTTCTCCTCCGTCAGAATGCGCAGTCTCTGGTATTGAATGGATGGTCCCGTTGGGATCCAAGGGACGGCGCTTGCACCACACCACCCTTGTGCCGGTTCAGGGGTCTGTCTCTTCCCAGCTGTCAAACACACCCTTCCGCCGACGTTGCTATTCCTATACCTGATCTTCAATTTTGTTGTACCCGACCATACATCGTACGCAGTAACGTTAGTACCCTTGACACTATGACTGGTTATATCGACATGGCTCACGGACCACAAGCCAAGAAACAACCCCCCCCCCCCCCCCCCCCCCAATGTCTGGTCCATGAATAAGAAATGAACAACAAAAGTCCTTGACTATACATCATCACCTAGTTCTCTCCTCCTGCAGCACCCAGGCGCAGACCGCCATCCTTTCGTCTAATATTAGATCATTAAGCATCGGCTCTGGATATGTACGCTGCAATGACGGGGATAGCTCGATTAGCGTTCCGATCGAATGCCGTTTCGAAGTACGGAGTACGGAGTACAGAGTACAGAGGACGACGTTATGTAGCTAAGCTCCTTGTCTGCAAGCGTCTACATACATGTGAACCTATCTATGCCTTACCTACTACGGAGTAATCTGTTCCTCAGCTGTACCTTAAACTGCTTACTGCTTATAGTTACTCTGTACTTGCCAGAAGTAGACTACAGTAGTCATGTACCAACCTCTAGATTTTCCCTCGCATCGTTAGCTCGCCTACACCAGACCTAACCAGTTAGTAGCCACCATCCGATTCGGTACTATTGATGTGGAGTGCAGAGTGAGGTCATGTTGATTAACTAACCTAACTTAACGTTACACAGCTCAGATTTAGTGAATATACTTCTTTAATGTACAAAGGTTTTCATGATTAGGGTCCATCCCATCCCATCCCATCCATCTACAGCCGGGAAACCTTGGTTGACTCGGGCAATGGACCACCACCCCGCTGGATCTCAAGAGGCTTGGCCATCAAAACCCCGGCCTTGGCCATGAACGCCTGATAATAGGGCGTTTGACTGTGCTTCACTAGGGCTTCTTGGTTACGGTATCTGCGATATGATAGTCTTAGTTCCAGGTTCCTACCACAGAGGAGCAAGCAGGGCAATGAGACAGGAGAAAGAGCTACCTCTCGACGACCACAATTGCATTTCGATCTTGATTGACAAAGGCATAGTAGAACAGCGTGTCGGGCTCGTTGGCCTGCACTTGGCGTGAAAGCTCGCTCCAAAGGGTTGCAACCTTGTGTCATGTCAACTGGCGGCCCATCACTTGATCGAAGGCGCGCAGAGAGATGAGAGGGAGTTAGAGAGAGGAAGGCCACTTACCTCATCGATCTTGTCGGGTTGAGGATAGGCAAAGACGGTCACGTTCACTTCGGTGGAAGCCATTATAGTGGTGATTCTGAGAGATCTTCTTGGTTTTTGATTTGATTGTTCAGTATTTCTGGCAAGAAGATACACCTAGCTTATATACACAGTGTCGACCCACCGAGGAACCCCAATTCTTAGACAAGAGCATTCGGATCGATTACAATCTGCCTCGGTACATGGGCCGCATTTGTCATCGCCGTCTCTTTAACTCCGTCCCTAATTGCGATGTTGAGAAATCCTAAATTCAACAGCCTTACTACGTCCGTGCCGTTGAAACCTTCTAGAACCGTACGGTGCGCTGGGTGGAACCGGGAAAGACTCGGAACATCCTCGGAGCTTCGGTAGCTCAGCATAGTCAAGAGACTTAAAGTTATGAAGAACTTAACTCCATACATAACTCAAGTTACTCACTGGAAGTTGAGTTTCAGCGTGTCCAGGACTGACTGTAAGGAGGAACGTGCCTGGCAGGAGAAAAGCACCGGCCACCCGCACTAAGCCCCTTCCGGGATCCCAGCCCACTACCTTACTAGGTAGCAAGTAGCAAGCCACACTGGCTCAGCCTCCCCCACCCGCCGCCTTGCCCGATCGGGTCATGATGATGCCTGAGTGCTGTGTGTGACTTGCTCCTGATAATTAGTTAGGCTTCTGCAAATCATCCTCCGAACTTCATACATACCTACATACATACATACCTACATACATCTTTTTTGCATTGCTGCCTCAATGCGACTTCATTTCCCCAACTTGTAATCACCCACCGCATCCTATCTCATGGCAGACGTTTCTGGACCTCACAGCGCCGGGCTCGACCCCGATGCGCCGCCATCCAGTGCTGGCTCTGCCGGCCACTCCGCAGCTAACGACCTACGTTCGGGTCCGCCCCCAACGATGACGGAGGAATTGAAGGCTAGAATGGATAAAGTCATTTATTCAGATGTATGGAATTGAAGCCGCAACTGTCGCTCTAAGTCTATTCCTTGTGCTGACCGCGATACCTTCTGTCACATAGATTGGTATCACCACTCTCCTGACTCGGCTCAAGCAAAGTGTCGCCTCCGCCAAGGTTCGCCTCAACCACATCACCACCGTGTGAAATCGCACAAATACGCTGACTAGCCCTGCACTGATTATCAGGACTTCTCTTCCTTCCTAAAAAAACGATCTGGTCTTGAAGAAGAGCATGCGCAAGGCTTGAAAAAGTTGTCCCGCTCGCTCCACGACGCAGCTCATCGCACGGAAAACCGCCAGGGCACTTATGGTAACAGCTACAATGACCTCAATCGCTTTCATGAGCGCATGGCGGATCATGGACTTCAATTCGCCGTCTCGTTGCAGCAGATGGCCGACGACCTCAATGAGCTAGCAACAAATATTGAACGTGGCCGCAAGCAATGGAAGCAGACTGGCTTGACTGCGGAGAAAAGGGTGCTGGAGGCCGAAGCATCCGCTGAAAAGGCAAAGGCCAAATATGTGTCATTGGCTGAACAGTTGGACCGTGTGAAGACGGGCGACAGACAGGGCGGAAAGTTCGGTCTGAAGGGCCACAAGTCCTCGGCTCAGCACGAGGAGGAGCTGTCGCGCAAAGTACAGAATGCGGATTCGGACTACTCTGCTAAGGTCCAAGCTGCGCAGACGGCTCGACAAGAACTTGTCTCAACCCACCGCCCTACAGCCGTCATGAACATCCAGAAGCTGATTTCGGAATGCGACTCTGGCCTGGCGCTGCAGCTGCAGAAATTTGGTGCGCAACAATATGCTTCCCCCACCCCCACCTTTTGCATGTTATCTGTGCTGACAGTCCGGAAGCCACTTTCAACGAGAAGCTGTTGCTGGGACAAGGATTGTCAATCAGCCCCCTGAAGGATGGCACGGCGAATCCTGCTTTGGCGCCAAAGAGCTTGTACGAAGTTGTGTCGCAAATTGATAACGAGAAGGATTTCCGTGAATACATTCTTAGTCACGAGAACAATCCTGCTGCAGTGACATCAGAACAGATCAGATATCAACGGCATCCGGTTAGCATATCTACCTGAGATCCTGAACCAGTTCAAGCTGACACATTCACAAGACTCTTGGTGGCTCTGGGTCTGTGGCAGCTGTCTCTGCACCCACAACGCAGAATAAAAGACAGTCGACTTTCCTCCCTTCCTCCTTTTCCACACAGACCCTCTCCTCTCCACAAGCATCTACCCAAACGTCAGCGCCAGCGCCGGCGCCGGCGCCCGCACCCACAAACGCTCCGGCGCCGGCGCCAGCTACTGAGACATTGCCATACCATCAAAATCCAGACTCGTTCAGATCACCGCCATACCAACCACAGCCACCTTATCCCACAAGCTCCTCTGGTCCTCTGGAGCCGCATCACGCTGCAGGTCAGCCACCTGTGCCGCCAGCTAAAACTCCCCTCCATGCGCACGGCAATGGTTTCCAGCCACACTTACCTCCTCTAAAGCCGGTGTTCGGTGTATCATTGGAGGATCTGTACACACGAGATGGGACAGCGGTACCCATGATCGTCTACCAATGCTTCCAAGCTATTGAGCTTTTCGGGCTTGATATGGAGGGGATCTATCGTCTATCTGGAAGTGCCACCCATATTAGTCAAATGAAGGCACTATTCGACAATGGTGAGTCTTATAATCTCTCGATCCGACGAATGTGATCTAACTTATGCACGGCAGACTCATCTCAAGTGGACTTCACCAACCCAGAAAACTTCTACCATGACGTCAATAGTGTCGCGGGGTTGTTGAAGCAGTTTTTTAGAGATTTACCTGACCCATTGTTCACATCGCACTATTATACCGACTTCATTCATGCAGCCCGTAAGGAGTCCCTCCCAGAACACAAAACTCAAGACCAACTCTGACCCATGATCTCCAGGTCTTGATGATGACATTGCACGCCGCGACTCCCTGCACGCGCTCGTGAACAACCTGCCTGATGCCCACTATGCTACCTTGCGAGCTCTGATTCTTGTATGCCCACAGCCATTCCTTTTCAAACACCTAGACACTTCTCCTAACATGTGACAGCATCTCAACAAGGTCCAAGAGCACTACACGCAAAACCGTATGAATGCAGGCAATATCGCCATCTGCTTTGGGTTCGTTCACCACCCATTCTTCCCCCTTTTTGTCCCTTGATACTATAAACTGACACCCGCCAACCCAGACCAACCCTCATGGGGGCCAGCTCCAGCGGCAACATCGCCGATGCAGGCTGGCAAGTTCGTGTCATCGAAACGATCCTCGTCAACACGTTCCAAATCTTCGACGACGATTAGATATGTTCTGATGGTGCTGCGCGGACATGACCAATCTTTTTTTTTTTTTTTTTTTTTTCCAAATCATCTTGCCTCCCCGCTAGAACCGCTAATCCTTGGATTTTCGCTTCACCTCCCTCTTCTCACGCGGATACCACTGCAATTTATTCCCATGTCTTTTCAAAGTCGCTGCTTTTGTTCTCGTTGTTTTCTTCTATGTTCAAGTTGCTTTGGAAACCCCGATTGGGTTTCAGATTTCTGTACGTGTATATATGCCTTCGCTACCCCACCTAATACTGGCACCGAGGGTGGAGATTTTGCCGCTCTTCATATGTTTACCATCTCTTCTTGCTCGTAGATGAGCGGTGAGATGAGTAAAGGCTCGCGTCGTTGACTCCGTGATGCGTCCTCTTCTTGAAGGTGTTAAAGAGGGTGTCTACTTGCGACAGGTGAAGTCGTATAGGACATTGAGATTGCATGTGTATATGATACATTGAACAGTACGGGAGATCGCCCAATACACTGATTAGGTGTATCCAGCGCGTTAGTGACCCGTGGCATGAGTGACCAAAAAGATTCTAGTAAGACAAGAGGTTTGATAGGCGAGCAAGAGAGCAGCCCAAGAACCACAAAGAATAAGAGTATATGATGGAAAGATAGAGAGAGAGAACCCGGCTAAAAAGACAAGAGACAAAAAAGGAAGAGACAGCAATAGACACTTTTTCTGCGGGGAGTAATGGCTCGTGACTATCGTATTGATACACAACTGCATTTTGGAAGACGAGGGAGGAGGGATCCGTAACCAGGTTTTAGTCAGGATTCCACGGCGACGGTTGCATCTGACTAACATGATCTCTGGGCTGTGAGGATGGCTGGGAGAGGAGGGTCCCCGTTTCTATGCCTCCCGCTCATGAAATGTTTTCACGCCATGCCATCATTGCGGAGCAGGTTGTGGTCAGATCACAGCGAGGACGGGAAGGAACGAGGCAACTGAGCAAGTGCTTGTATGAATTTACCGACCCATTCCCGCCTTCAGAGCCTCCAAGCGCTCGGCGAGGGTCAGACCAGGAGCGAAGAAGGGGCTGGTCAGATCGTCGACTGTGGTCGGAGTGGCGTGACCCCACACGCGCCAGCCGGTATCCTCGCCCGTCCACCGGAGCTTCTGGATGACGATGTATTCTGTGCAGTCCCGTTGCTTTTCATTTGTAGCCACAGCGGTGGAGTCCTGGGCGGCTTGTCCCTTGGCGGGCGCCGTGTACTTGCCGGCGGTCTGCTTGCTGGTGATGCGCACGACGACCTGGCGCACGCCCGAGTTCGGAATCTCGGGAATCTGAGTGGCACGGTCCGACACCACGCGGGCACCGGTCCAGAAGGTGGAGGCGTCGCGGTTGTAGTTGTCCAGGCTCCAGGTGACCTTCTCATTCTTTGGACGCGCTGCGATGCGTGAGTTGAGCTCCTTGGCTAGACCGGTGCAGCAGATCTTGTTGATGGTGGCAGTGTCGCCCCTGCAGAACAAGACATGAAGTAAGCATCGAGTTGGGATTATTGTCTATATTGTTAAGAGGAGTCAGAGGCCGTGGTAAACATGGGGCACTCACGCTGCGAAAGCAGTTAACATGCGCCGGTGAAAGTCCTGGGCGATCTGACGACGCTCCTTCAATTCGAGGGGTAGTCCTTTGTTGAAGTATCGGCTGTAGGCGATGACTCTGTATGACCGAGTTAATTTCCTGGCCCAGCAAGAGCAGAATACAGATTGACAAGACCCAGAACCTACCCAATGAAATTCTGGACGGCGTGCTTCAGCCACAGCCATTCCAGCCGAAGGCGTTCATGGCGCTGATGGATGAAGGACGGCATATCCTTCCACAACGGACGGATGTAGGTGCCGGGCAAGAGGCCGATATCCTGCGGAAGCTCCGATCTCGCCATTTGTCTGGTTCTAGTTCTCGTACTGGGCTGAGGAGGAGGCCTGATTGAAACGGACTCTGACGGGCGCACGCCGCCAGGGCGCTGGATGGACTGCGAAAAGGAACGAGATTGGCATGATGCGACACCGGAGGAAGCGAAAGAGGTGCTGCTGGCTCTGACGACCGCGGACAAGGGCCCCTTGGACAACGATGAAGCCATGATGAGCGGAATGGACACGCGAAGTGTACCTCTCTCTCTCTCTCTCTCTCTGCAACACTTGGGAGGGAGGGTGGATGAATTGGATGAATTGGATGAATTGGACGAATTGGACGAATTGGAGTCGAAACGCAAAAGAGAGCCGAATGGGGGAAGATCGAAACCCGCCAAAGTTCCGGAATGGTCACGTGCCCGCCACCGCCGCGGGCTTTTTGCTTTGGCTTTTGGCTGATTTGGCTTCAAGCCTTCGATTTGGATCGCGGGTGCCCTTGTCCAACTGGAAAGACGTCGGTTCCTGCCTAGAATTCTCTTGTCCGGTGGGATCAGCTGGTCTTTGATCTTCGGGCTCGTCAGTTCCCCAGTGATTCAACCACGATCGTCGCCGACGAGTTAATACCATAAACAACAAGGAAAAGCTCTGGTCCAGGGGGGTTCTTCTCCACCACATTTCAACCATCTACGACTTGGGACACCATAAATCTCCATTCTTATCTTCTCGACGTCCCTCTTCTGTTGCGCAACGGCCGCATATGCCGTGATTTCAAGGCTGGCTCCTCCTCGTCGTCGTGATGCTGCATCTGCGCCCATCCCTATTCAACAATTCCGGTCACCAGTTGCGTCTGACCTGATACCTTTGCCCGATCCCTCCGACGAATCGCTCCTCCAATCTACCACCTTCTATAACTCGGTGACGTCCATTCTCTCAAAGCTGGATTCCCGCGACAAAGACGGGGCCCCCGCAGCCGTCGTCCCGCCCTCCTCCCCTCCGGCCCCTCAACCCCCTAGCAGCATTGGCGGCGGCGGCGAGGATGGCAGCGACAGCGACGGCCACTCGGTCCCCTCGTCGGCTCTTCACCCCCGCGTGGCTGTCATCCTAGGCGTGGATCGCAAATGGTACCTGCCTCTGGTGATCTGCCGCGCGCTGAGCACCGTCCCGGCCGCATGGTGGGGTCTGCGATGTGCGTTCACATTCTTGGCCGAGCTGCTGCACATCCAACCCGGAATGGGAGGGGAGGGGTGGGCGGCGGCGATAGTTGGGAGTGTCGGGCAAGACTGGGATGTTGAGCGAAGATTCCGCGTCACCGAAGTGGCTTTGGCGATTATGTGGGTATGTAACATGTGTGCAAATCGCTTGTCTTTAATTCTCTCCTTCAATTATCTTCAAGAGAAGCAAAGTGTTTTGGTCTAACTCTCTCACAGTGCTGTGCATCCGCATATCTTTCTTACTTTTTTGCTGATTGTATGATGTCTCGATGGTATGTGTCCTTGCTCCGCAACTTTTGGGATTATTGGCAACAGCTTCGGCGGAAAGTTCGTGGGAACTGACTCTTACATTTTCTGCCTTTCAGGCTTTTGAACTATACCCCGCCAGCTGTTGTTATTCGTCTCCTCACTACGAACGGGTTGATTGCTTATATCACTTCTTGGGTCCTTTATCTTTCCGGGGCTTCTTATGACCCCCGTCTGCTTCTCCCTGCCTGGATCTCCATCACGACGGTAAGTTACCCCCCCCCCCAACACCATTGTTTATCCCCGGGATCTTCTTTCAGTCACACTAAAACTTGCTATCGCACCTTACCACAGACCCTCACCTTTCTCTACCACGCCACGCAAAACCATGCCACGATCAAGCGTGAAACGGCGGCGGCGCTGCTCGTCGTCGCGGTCGCCAGCTTCGTGAGCATGTCCTCCTTGCTCCTACAGTTGCACCTCACCCGCGAGAACGAACCCGAGGTGCCCGTCTTCGTCATCACCCGGAAACTCTGGGACTGGGCGGTTCAGATCTTCCTGCGCATGCGGGTTGCGGATAGTCGGGCGTATCGTCCGGGCGAACTGTAAAGACGGACTGCTGTAAGATTAACCCAGGTAGATAATGACTTCGTATGGGCCATGTCCATTTCGTGGTTTCCCTAAGTCAACTGTTCCCATAGCTAGCTACTACCTCCAATCTACCCCTATTGCTACATTCCAGTGTTCAAGATGCCTTGCCTTAATTTTTTTTAGCTAGTTGTGCATCCAAGTTGATCAAGATAAGCCCAGTATCGGTAGTATACGCCATTCGAGAATGCGTTTTAGCCATGAACAAATATTCCATTCTTGGACAATAGTACGGAAGTGACAGTCTAGGTCGGTATGTGCAGAAATAAAGACGATCGAATCACAGGAAATGAGAGAGATCAAGAAAAACGACTGTTCCTCAATCTCCACCTTCAGACACAACCCTCTTCAAACATAACAGACCTTCAACCGTCCTTTCAGAAGAAAACAAGAAGCTAAGAAAAATATCTATGCAGATAAGGGTATCTACCAACGCCTCGTTCCGTCATTATCCCATTCCAGGTATCGCAGTTGAGTCGGGACATAAAACAATATCAAACCCACTGCTGCCCCCCTCCTCGGTGCAAGCGCCTAACGAAAGTGCGCCGGAGGAGAGGAGGGGAGTTCAACTTGACAGTATTCTTTTTTGATCAAAGCTTCAGGCCCTGTGTACCGAGTAAAGAGCGACTAAAAGGTATTCAAAGGCAACAGTTTCGGCAAGCCGATCGACTCACAATCCTACCTTGCAGTAACGCCGTGGTGCAACTGCAATGGTTGGAGGGAAGCGACAGACACAGAGATGATGTTGCTCTTCAAAGCCTCCCACCACTGCTGAGTAGTAACGTGGACCGGAAAGAAAAGAAAAGAAGGGGACCGGAACGGGGACGTGACGACGGGGTGCTTAGAAACCGTGGACCTTGATGGTCTTGGCATCCAGCTCGAGACCTTCCTTCTTGTCGGTCAAGAACTCCTGAACATCTTTACGCTGATCACCCTGGAGCTGAATAACCTCGCCCATCTCGGTGTCGTTCACGATGGTGCCATTGCAGGCTGGATTAATTATTAGTTGGATGCCTAAAATGTCGAGACGTGGCGGGCCTAGTTGAGACGTACCGAACTTTTTCTTGATCACCTTCAAGATCTTCTTCTGGTCAAACTTCTTCGGAAGACCCTGGACCGTAGTCAAGGTCTTACGACCATTGCGCTCTGCAGATCGTTGTTAGCCTCTGGTTTCGTATCGGACGGCATGGACGAGATGTCACCACAGCCAACGAGCAGTGAGCAGTGAGACGGCGACAGCATGGGTGGAAAACGCAAGATAGATTGATTATGACGTACGTTGAATCCGTATATGGATGTAGTTTTGAGACTGCTTGGTCTCGCCGGTGTCTTCGTCAGCTTCGGCGAAGGGGTCTGTGGAAAAGGAGCATGTGTCAGCCTCAGGCTCATGACCTAGCATTACCCCGCCAAAAAGTGATGCGAAACCGACCACCTTCCAGATTACCAGCCGAATGGCGGTTCTGCGCCACCGAGTGACATTCAGTCTATCCTTGAAAAGAATAAACCGTTGTACAGCAAGCTGGGCAGCATGCGAAGGGGTGTTTTCGCAATAAACGTCGACGTTGCCCACAGAGGAGGGGGAGGTGGCGAGCGACTTACCGAAGGTCTTAAGGTTTTCGATGGACATAAACTCGGCCTTTCGTCGTAAACGGCCCTTAAAAGCGGTATAGGTAAAGTGAGCGGAGGGGCGAGAATAAATATCTCTGTTAAAGCGGGGGAGCGATTGCGAGTCGTTGGAGACTGAGTGAGGTTCTTGAAGATGGAGTGTAGGGTGGGAAGGTCGGGAAGGAAGCAAAGAGAAGAACAGAAGAGCCTTTTGAGGGGCGCGGCTTGCATTTAGCGCCCTTGTGGGGGAAGGCGGTGTGGTGTGGGCCTGACTAAGCCCAGCCGGGCAGTCTGACTCTGGCTCAGTTTCTGGTATAAGTACAGTACGCCGTACAGAAAATACTAATTATCTATCATCCATCATCGGGCATCCGGTGGGCTATCGTCCGCCTGTCAAAGAAGGCTTGAAAGAGGCGTCTGGCTCTTCAGGGTTTAATTGGTTTGAGGTGAAAGTTCATGTTTGGTGGCAACCTGGAACCTTCTTCGGCGCATTGCACCCGGCTGCGTCTCCCCACTCACCACCAATACTTTTCGTGACGCTGCCGACGTAGCCCTTACGCACTGGCTGTTTGGCTGTGTTCCAGCCAGCCAGTCTGTACTGGGGTTTAATTCCAGACTGTCAGATTCTCAGAAGGCTGGCTATATGTACACATTTGCCCGCCAAGTTAATTATACTTTGAAGCTGTTCCTCAGCCTCTTGTCCTTGTTTGCCTTCGCATTAGTCTCTTTTGCTCGGTCTTTCCAGCTTCAATGCATGCATGCACTTCGCAACCATTTTAAGTTGCCACTGTCCCTTGTACTCCCCCATGCGTGGCGATAGCGAGCGCTAGCAGATATGACATTATGGTATTTCTGGTATTATAGTATTCGTACAGAACCGTCGAATTCCCCTGTACAAGCGAGCAAAGCTCCCTGGCTATGAAGCCGCAACACTAACCCCATTGACTGTTCCACTTCCCAATCGGTAACGCTCGGATATGCTGTATGATTTCAATTGCAAATTCGGAAACGCCATGAATTAATTGTGTACCAAAAGACTTTCGCATGGGTATGTTTGAACGGGCTTCCCTCAAGGAGAAGGCGAAGGCGAAGGAGCAGCAGCACCACGCGCGGTCTGAGGAGGCAGGAAGATGGGGAAGTAGGTCTGCATGATTTCGATCAGCAACGAGGTAAAGGACCATGCGACTGCTGCTGCAACGCAGAACAACACATACCACGACCAAAGCCATCACTAGGAACGCGCGTCGTTAGTCAGTCATCCATACTCTATTGTCTTGGAGGCTGGGGTGCACGAACAGGACATCAATACAGACATATAAGCCGGGGTAGAAGCGTTTCTCTTCTGGTCTGGGGTCTCACCCAGCCAGCTCTGGAGAGAGAAGACGAAAGACACCCTATGAATGTGTTAAAAAGATAGCCACTCTGAAAGGTCGCTAGAAATATACCATCCGATCATTCTGATTGAGCCCCGGCAATTAGCTACACGGGTCGAATTGATGTCTCAAAGATCAGTTCCCTGCTCACCTGTTCCTGGTAAACATCTAAAGAGAAGCCGATTAATATCTTCTGGCTGTAAAGCGCGGAGCTGGACCGCAACTTACCGCAGCCATGGGCATGGTGCTAGACATCGCGCCTGTTCCAAAACATCAATACGAGCCCAACTGCGCCTTATAGTAATATGTCTCTTTATCGCTCGTTACGTACTGGACATGTCGGCCTCATTCTTGTCTTTCGGCGGATCAATGTAGGGGATGGCTAAGATGCGACGTCAGCATCAGCAAGAGTGCGCTTCCGACGAGGTTCAAGGCTTGGGAGCAGTCAACATACCGAGATCCAACCTGCGCATATCCTTCTTGGTCGACATTTTGTGATATTCTGATTGTTATCTCAGTCCTGTTTCGGCCTGGGGGGCGTAAATCCGGGGTGAGAGGCAGTTGAACTGGCCAACCAAGCGACCAGCGCCGCCAAGCCCGAAAGCGGAAAGGCCGCTCGCTGGTGCAGTGCTTTCCATACTGCCACCATATCTGAGTCCCCGGCTTTATCTCCCTATCAGACCTCTACTCTACGTAATCTTTGGATAACACCGGATGTCAGGCACTCCTACTTGAGCCGAGCATCAGTATCTCTCAGATCTACATACCATTAGGGTTATCATGTTGATCATAAGTTCTCGCGCAAAGATGCCTGCAAACGAGAACATCCGCTCTACCGGAACGCGACCGCTCGCCTCCGAGAGAAGGCAACCTTGGTCTTTTGGCTCGCTTGGAGTGGCCATTGAAACTTCCCGGGCCTGTGTTGCATATCCGATCTGGCCCCTTAACTGGAACTTAGCTGCTCCAATGGCATCAACCATCCAAGACACCTCCAGGTACTATGTGATCACGAGAAGTTTGTTTGACTCTCGGGGAATTGCGCAAGCACAGTCAATGGCGGAAGATCGACAACAGCCCAAATGTAAGGCAACTCAAGTGCTGTCTTCTGGTCCTTGAGCCTTGACTGGTCATCACGTACCAGGATGGAAATGCACGGTCCCCTTGTTTGATCTCTTGTACTACCTGAGACCGACTGATCTATCGCGGGATAAGAAGCATACCTATTCTATCGGTACATCTTTTTCAAATGACAGATACGAAGCTTAGTCACTGACGTGGAGCTGATCCGCAAGTGTGGCCAAAGCATTGAAATGCGCCTTCTCCGGGGTTCATTCGGATTGGGACTGTAAGTTACTATGTACTTGTGTGACAATGACACCTCCGGAGGCGCTTGTCGAGACTCAAATCTGATCCGACTGCGTAGGACTGCATCCTGCAGGTCGCTGAGATGGTGATTGTTCTGTCAGAGAATGAATGGGTTATGGTGTGAGGATCCATCCCGGTCTGTGCTTTGGCAAATCTCGGGCAATAAATTACACCCTCCGGCGACCAAAAGGACACTTGGGCCTCTGGTTCGATTCTCGATCATTACATGGATGGTGCGTGATGTTGTGTGCTGCTCAGGTGAAGATGAGATCTGGGGATAAATGGGTACTACGGATAGATACTACGTAGACATTGTACTGAAGAGAGAGAACGGGCCACGTGAGAATTAGGCCATACCGGTTAGTGGGAGGAAGGAAGGTCGACAGAATATACTATGGTGGTTAGTTAGCCATGGAATTGGGATAAAGTGCGGAGAAGGATGACCAGATGAAAATGGTGCATCCATCATACCACATAATATCATGCCACTTGAGAGGGGCAAGACGCCAACACCCCGTTCCCAGAAAGGTTCTCTTGAGTCTTGACGGGACTCTTGAGTCCTTGACTGTTTCCAAACCCCTCGGACGGCAATCGGTCCCGGGAAATGGGTCACAGAGC